TGCAAAAACCGCTTTTTATCTATGCTTGTTTTAATACTTTTACTAAGTATATGGAAGGGGACGAATTCCAAAGAACCGTTGTAGAAGAAATATGATAAGGAAAATCTGAAGAATTACTGCTTGGTCTGCTTACTGGATTATTAACTTCACGAGATTATCGAGAAATAGCAGCCCGAGGTTCCTGGACAGCTGTTGTATAATGGATGGCTTTTACGTGGGTGCCAAGCGGGTAATGGCGCTCATTTCAGAGACTGAGGCCTGTACGCGCATGCAGATTAAGTTCCCAAAGTAGCTCGGTGGCTTTTGTGGGTCTTGAGATAAAAAAGCATGAGAGACGCACACACGGACACGAAGACACACAGACATATACACACACACACACACACAGAAAACCCCTCGTCAATATACGTTTTCTGCATTGCATTAGCTGCAAAAAACGCATAAAAGATGGCCGTAGCGATGATCAAAATACATGTCAAAAAAGTATTGCAGCAGGAAAGTCCATTGCTTTTTAAATAATCTGTGTTGATGTTTTGCATTTTAAGAATGTGTAACAGCTGTTCGTTCTGTGACAACATTCTCTGCAATGGACAGTTTTCGTGTGCCACGTGATTCGGAATTTGTGGAATCGCTAACGCAATGTTTCACGGACCAGGCAAACAGCGGTAAAATTTTTTTTTTTTTTGAGAAAAAATCAGAAAACAAAAAATGAACTTAGATCGTAGGAATGCGGTAAATTCAATTCACTCGTCGATCAGAAGTCCAATAATTTGCTATTCAAATTTCAGAAATTCCGGAGAACTTTAATTTTTTAAAGTTTTTTTGTTGCACAATTCGCATCAGTTCAACACATAATTTCATTTCCTGTTCATTTCTGAATTAACTGTTTTTATATAACTCAATGTAAATCTACAAACAAATCCTTTCGTCTCATGCTTGACCTTTGCAACATGTAATTAACAATGCGTTTTTGTGGCTTTAGGATTTTGACATATTTGAAAAATACCGCTGAATAGCTTAAATTCTACAGTCTTCAGTATCATCGTTTGCAGGGAAGACGATTATTATAACGGTCGATCTTATGTTCACTGCCGAATCGTTCAATTTAAACTTTAATAGTTGGATGAGCACCGTTCCATCTCCACCAGCCGATACCGCCAACGACTTTCGATTCAAAGTTTTAAACAGCGCAAATGCGTAAGTTATCATAACTGTTTATCTTGGTTACTTTTCTTGTTAGCGACACTTTTTCACGCGTAGCCTTCACTTAGAAGAGATTCTCAAGCGCTTCTGTTTTGCATCTTTATATGACGATGTTAAAACCCCTTCCGTATTCATTCTATACGAGGTGCTGAAGCATTCGGAAGTATTTTAAGGGTAGCAACTGCCAACAGCAACCATCCGCTGCTAAAGTTATTGGTGGCCTCCATTTTGAGGGGAGGGA